ACTCTTATAATATTGTTTTGGCAGCGTATTTTTTCTTCAAAAGACAACTAATCTGAAATGCAGAGTGGTTGAACATTAAATTCTGCATAAATAATTGAAAGCATAAATGTCAACCATGTAATGTTAAGTTGAAGAGAAAAATTATGAACCATTAATCCAGAATAACTGCAGAAGAAGCATGGTTACACCCCAAGAGTTCTGTATTATATAAAAGTTAACAAAAAACTGCATATACAAGATGGTGGGTCTTTTTTAGAAGAAATTAACTAGTAAGAAACCATAGACTGTACTTTGCTCTCAAACTTGTCAACCCTAAACAGGATGTTTAATATTCTTCATTTTAACTAATTGAATAATGTATTGTTGTGTCCGTGTGCTTCTGAGATATTGGAGCAACTGTATTTCTTAAGGTCCTAGATCTGAGTATCTTTGACTCCCAAACATAATTTATTTTCTAGGAATTGCATTTTTTACTATTTCAATGTGCCAATTAAAATGCACTCTGCTTGATTTCATCACCTGCAAAATGTCTGTATGTTATTGTATCCTGGGCAGTTTTGCTGTATATTGCAGAATATATCCTTTCTCAATCAAACCAACTCTTGCCACCACATCCCTCTGGCCCTGATGCACAGGGAGTGATTCCTTGCAGCATCCAAGTACAGTAATGGTCCCTGCTAATTCAGATTCCTGCTATCATTTGCCTTTAATAGATGGGCTCAGCTAGCATTTTATTCTTGCTTGAATTCACAGACGCCACTAACACGAAACATCTTTCCCATCACATCATCCTTTAGATATAAGGATGGAAACCTTATACAAACTTATCCAATGTGTAATGCCAGGTTTATCTCATTATAGCTCTGGGCTGTATATTCTTAGGCCACTTGCTTTCCTGTCTGAATTGGCAGAGCAAAGCCGGGCACTGCACATTAGGTGCAATGCTGGTGCCAGAAGGCAGAGGAAGCCTGCTACCAACACTGCAAAGACTATTGTGCTGCAGAGAGAAATGTTTTTTCTTATGGCTACTGCTGTAGACCTGATCAGGCAGCAATGGCATCAGGAGAACTGAAAGGATGCTCTGCACATTACTGTCATCACAGAGGCTTTAACAGCCATTGCCTTTTGTAAGCTGTCCAGAGACTTTTAGTAATGGGACAGCATATAAAAACTTTAAATATGTAGATAGATAGATAGATAAATAAATAAATAAATAAATAGTTTTAATGTCTACCCACTGAAGGCGGCAAGGACAGGTAGAGTGGCTAGAGGACTCTGAATAACACTTGTTCTCCCTTAATTCCTTTGCTGCTGGCAACTTTCAGGGGACAAGGACCAAAGTCACTAGATACTATTTCCTGATACCTTCCTGGAATTCTGGGATGTTTCTTGTGAGGGCAATATCACCTGTCAATAAATCTGATTGAATTATGAACTGCTTTGAGAACGATTATGGCTGAAAAGCAGTGCATTGGTATTGCAGAGCAAGAAAGTAAATAAAATGTGCTCAGCCTGTTAGTATATTTTTATGGCCACAGCAGAAAATACTTTGCAAAATTAAAAATATGCACATGCGTCATAGTAGGATAGAAGTATAAACATGACAAACTCATCTCTGAGGAGAATTATCTCTTTTCTCATTCTGTGAAGCAACAGTATGTCAGCTAACAGTTTGTTGGGGTCCAGAAATCCATTTGTAAACAAGCTCAAAATGGGAAAAAGATTAGTCTAAGTCATTACATATTCCACTATGCTAATAAAGCAAATTCCTGCAACAGATTACTCATCGTTCATTCTTGGATAAGACACTTATCCATTTTTTTAAATACTCTGTACTCTAGTAATAAACCACTTCCTTTTTCCTACCTGTAGCATTATAAAAATATTGGCTTGGATTCCAAGTTCCCTATAAAAGAAATAGAGTACTGCCAAGGTTTTCCTTAACTTTCAGGCTGTCTAAAATGCGGTTTGAGATATGTGAGAAGTAGAACAAGAACATTATTTTTAACCAACTACTCCACCAAGTGAAAGGTTGGTTCCTACAGTATGAGAGAAAGCATGCATGGAGTGTGAAAAAAAAAGAAAAGTATGCCCAGTGGGAGATATTATTTGGCATTGGGAGGTATATCCTAGAATAATAAATTAAAATTATCTGAAGACCCCTAATAATAGTCAAAAGCACTGGAGCTAGAGCATGATAGTTTTCAAGGCTACATTCCACAGCACAGCTAAGCAAACCAGCTCTTCCACTGGATACATTAATCTCAATGGAACAGTGTTTTTTCTACATTGCAAAGGAAGATAATGCCCATGAGCTATGGCCAATTAGTTTTAAAAGAAGCAATATAACAGTTCATGGGAGAGGTTGGCTGCTCTGCCATAACTTGTACATTAAAATAAAAACAAGCCAGAGATATTCAAGCTCTGAAGCTCCTGTAAATGTGGGTGTTTTTCCCCCCTTCTTTTTTTTCTTTTATAGGGCAGGTGGCCAAATACCACAGAACATTATTTTATTCTCCTTTTCAAACTGCCCTATTTCTAGTAGCATCTACAGGAAATGCATTTAAAAGTTCTTAGAACATTAAGAAATACAAGGTCAATACAGATATTTTGTCACAGAAACGCAATCACGATATGAAATTAGGCTTCTGCAGGGTCCATATTTGGCCGTATTTTGCAAACGCATCAGTTAGAGCATCCGATCTGATCCTCTCCTGATTGCAGCAGTAGACCAACTCAGCTTCAGATCTCCATCCTGTATAAATGTGCTGAGACTGTGTGGAATTACTCCAGTCCTGAAGTAATCCCAGAGAATATGTGCAACAATATTTCATATATGAATTGATAATTAATAGGAGAGGGGAAAATGTCATACAACCTTTAACCACTGTGGCATCTATTGATTCTATACCTAATGTATCATTTAAAACTGGTCCCCAGCTTTGTTATTTTAAGAACTACCTGTATTTAAAAAAACATTTTCTGCATTACAACTGACTGAGGAAACCCATTATGCCATACAAATTTGAATATGATCCAGGATGCAGGGTAAGAGGGTATTTACCTTCCACATTTTTCTACTTAAATAAGGACCTCAAGCAGTGCAGTTACAAAATGTCACATCAGCTTAATAATGAAACAGGAAAGTCACAGAGGAGGAAAAGAGCTTCCATTCACTGGCTCTATAATAGTCTTAAAAATGCAATCCTGGAAAGAGATTGGAAATGCTGCCCCATTGGCTAGCATGATTATGACATCACTCAGCTACACCAATCACTGTTTTTCCATCTGAAGATACTCAGTTGGCTTTTCACTTTCTCTTCTGCCTTTTCAGTAGCTCTGTTCTCACTTGTTGACCTCCTACATTATGTCAGAACCTCAAGGCCAATAGGTCAAAGACTATTATAGGTTAAAGGTTGTATGACATTTTTCTTAGCTCTTTATAGACTAGTACTAAAACCTTAAACCTAGTTTTCTAGAAAATAGGTAGTCAATGAAGTTCCTTAACTGAAGCAGGTAAAAAGCCATCCAAGCCACCAGACTCACTAGGAACTTCAGTAAAAATGGTGGATCTAGGAGTAACCCCAGACTGCAAACCTGATCTTTCAAACATGGCGATGGTGTGCAACCTGATCTCCTGGACTACCTCCAGAACTTATGAACCATTCAAAAATAGGGCTTTGCCAGGATTTAGCTTCAGTTTATCAGCCCTTATCCAAGTGATTAGTGACCCAAGGCTTGCACGGCCTCCTGATTCAGATGCTATAGGCAGACAAGCTGTTATGTCATCAGCATGCTGGTGGCAATTGGCTCCAAATCCGATAGACTGCTCCAAGCAGCTTCAAATAGATGCTCAATGACACTGGAGACAGGAAGATATCCTGTGGAAACCTATAGGTGAGTTGCCAAGATGCCAAGCAATAGCCACGCAAAGTTACTCTCTCTGAGACTGACCCCACAGGTAAGACTGAAATGAATGTAACACAGCGGCTATGTTCACACATGATGCTAAACCATGCACTGCGGCTATTGCATAGTGTGGTTTCTTATCTGGTCTCTGGGTTCAGACAATTGCAAAGTTTCCATGATGGCAAGGTTTCCATTGTTTTCCATCATTCCTCCTAATGGCATTAGCCCCCACAGCTGAAATGCAGCCGCAGGGTGCACTACTACTGCCTATTGTGTCAGCCGCTTCCTCATTAGTGTTATACTCAGTGTCCTTCATGGTTGCGCCATCATGATTGTCTCAAGAACCTTCCCTAAGAAAATGGTATTGCAACTGGTGGTCACATTATTGCCTTCTTAAGGACAACAGGAAACACCCCTTCACACAGAGATGTGTTTACCAGTTCTTGCACTCATTCATAACCTCTCAGCTAGCTCTTATTAGCCAGAAAGGTCAAGGATCAAGAGGACATGTAGTCAGTCAGTTCGCTGCTACCACATTGTTCACATCTTTAGGGCATGGGAAGTGAACGTGATTCCATAAAATCGGACAGATGGCAGTGTCCGATGTCTCGACTGAAGCTGTGTGGACAATACCGTTAAGTTTGCTGCAAAGAAGAGTGATTTTGTGCTTAAACCATGATGCCAAGGTGCAGAGAGGGTCTTGGGGGGACCAGGACCCATTTACTGAGAGACTGCTAGCAGCGGTATAATGCTCAAGATGATGCTTCACAGCAAATCATTAAAGAAGAAGTTAAGAAGGTACAGATAACAAATTGTGGCTGTAATCTGGCAGCCACATCAATATTGTGAACAACACTAAGAGAACAAGGCAACAGACTTTCAATATCTGTTTTATAAGGAAGTTTCACTCATTGTCCCAGTCAAGAACTGTTGCTTTTCATACAAGACATCAAGGTCCATAGATAATTAAATGCATATTGTTTTTCTTTCTTTTCATTATAGTTTGACAACATAAAGAGGATTACTTTCCGTCAGTCAAGACTAAATGTTTCAGCATCAGTTCCAAATTTCCAACAACCCTTCTTCCTTTCATACTTTCCACTAGCTTCTCATTATGCTGGCAGTGCTGCTTCTTTTCTGTCAATCGTAAAAAAAGAAGAAAAAACTACTCTGCAACACACAAAGCCAGTTCATCACAGGTAAAATAATTGCGTAAATGTACTCTGGGCTAAAAACTTACAGGGCAATCCCACATATATTTACTTAGAATTAAGACCCATTGGTTTCAACTGAGCATACTCTCAGGTAAATGGGTGCTGGATTACAGCTGTAAGTAATTTGGATTAAAATCAAACTCTGCTATTTAAAATAGAAGCCAGAACTGTTGAAAATCCTGTAAATGTATAGGGTACTACAACGGAAACCATATTCTACCATTCAGGGAATGATCTTAAAGGTCTGTAGTAGAGGATTGGTGTGGTCACAACTGTGCAGACATAGATGGCTTTTAACAGCAGACTTCTTGCTTGCGTTTTCCCTTCTGCATTCGCACTGAGACGATATCCCTGAACTAATTTGCAAGAGCACAGTCATCTTGCAAATCTGCCCAAAAGCCACTTACAAGGAACTGAAAAGTAAGACTGATGAAGGTCACTTTCATGCATGCTGGAAGATTAGCAGCAGTGAAAAAAAAAACAAAAAAACTGGCTGGAGAAAAACAGTTGGAAATGCATTCTGAGGTTTTTGTTAACAAAAGATGGCATTTATCATCTTTATTACACTGTCCTATTGCTTTTGCTTTTTTCTTGTTTAAGTAGGCATAGCCCAAGGCATAGCCCAAGGGCCGTTCTGCACTGCAAGGGTCATAATTGTCCAACTCAACACACAGTGTGCGTGTGGTGGGATGCATATGAGTGAACGGGGCTGAGGCAACAACTCTGGGGCCACATGTCCACAGTGAGGGAACCCCAATACACTTTCCCAGTACTAAAATGATCCCTGGGCTGAAAAGAGTTACCTGTCATGATTTGGGGCAACATAGTCCTGTCTAATACTCATTCACAACAGAGAAGAGGTTGCTGGGTGTGGTGGATAAATAGCTAGACACCCTGAACAATAGACAAGTTTTGTGTATTTACAAATCCTACATATTTAAACAGCTTCTATAAAAACACACTAAATTCTAGTTAGATGTCATGTTGGTATCCCATTTCTTCATCTTGGCAGCCTATTCTATTTTATAACTCAAGGAACACTAGATAAGCAAGGAGCACCTGGAAAAACACCAGGGAGTTTTCAGTTCAACTGCTAATATCTTTGCTTTCTTTTGGACCTGGACATAAGAAAAGGGACATCTTTTCACATGCAGGTTGTCAATGTTTGAAACAGTCATTCCTTGGGGTTAGTTGATTTGGTCTGACATGATGCAATGCAGGATTATGTTTCAGTAATGCAAAGTCAATGGATGGGATCAACAGGAAGCTTAACAGGCTTGTAAAGCAGTTTCTGACACCCAGAATGCTTTTGATTGTTCATTATTAGCTTCGGTTGCTTACAAATGATGGTGTAAATCTCTTAGGTGTAGGGTGTGGCATTTCCTTGGTGAATCTGCAGCAGGCCTAATGGAACAATATATTTTAGGTAATTTGCCTGTTGCAGATCCTTTATACTTAAATACTTAAAAAGCACCTGTCTTTTCTTTTTCTTGGAAGGGGACAAGCGCAATAATATCATATATGTACTGCACTGAATTATGGATTGATCACAACTCCCTTTGTATTTAGCTTGTTATAAAGCAGCACTTAAGGATTCACAATCAAAAATTCCATGGAAAGACGCACACCAAGAAATTACATTTAATATTTATATTGAATGAGGGACTATTCTTTTCTGAATATATTGCATTTTGATTAAAAAAGGGAGCCTAACTAAAAAATGTGCAATTTTTAACAGAATTTCTTGGTGCAGCAAAAATATTTTTAGGAGAGATTTATTCTTAGAGAATGCCCCTAGTTATCAGTATCTTAGAGAATGCCCCTAGTTATTACATGTGGATGTTATAAAACTGCAACTTCACTTGGCACCCGTATGACAGATAGTGCATTTAGAATCAGAATATAACCCTATTCATGTTTAGACAGAAAAAGTCCTGCAACTCATAGCATTCCTGAGTCTGCATGCTTGTTACTGTCCAAACATGCATAGGACTGTACTCTCAGTCATTTGAAGGGGCTGTAAAGTGTTACTGTTCCTTCAAAAACGGTGTGGTTTATTCTAGAAGCAGTGGATTGTTAACCAGACTTCACCATGATTTATTGCAAAAAGTAAGTACTGCTAATTAAAACTCAGTTGGAAAAGTAGCAAATTAAGTACCAGACAATCTCTTCCATTCCCTGCCATCACTGGAAATTCTGCAACCAAAAAACAGCTCTATTTTTTGCACTTTAAAGTATGTGGGTGGGGGGGGGTGCGGGTGGAAATTCAGTGGTGAACTGCTTAAAAATACTAGGTGTTCTCAGTATCTGTTCTTTAGCCCATAGATGGCAGAAGAGAACTTAAATCTTCAAATACCTGCTCTAATTCACAAAGGAACACAGTGCTAGAATACATTTAGCAACTCCTGTAAGGCAGAAACAGTATTTTTGACAAAGAAAAGTTAACAAATGTAAACATGTGAAAAACAAAAGATAGCAATAAAGAATTTAATAATATTAGAACAAAAATAATGTGTCCCTCTGTTGATACTTCTGTGTGTGACAGGGAAAGAGAGAGACAGAGAATGAGAATGAGGGAGAGAGAAGTTTGCTTTTAGGTGTATTACCATTTTAGAGATTTTGCATGGTTTGCCCACACCCAAGTATGCACTGGATCCTTGGTTATTGTTCCGTTTTTCTTTGTTATGCCTTGCCTATTGTTCCATGAAATCTACTAACTTGGAGAACAAGTACAGGGGGATTGAAAAGGTCAAGTCCACTTTGAAAAGACTACCCATATGAGTCTATTTATAACAGTAATACATTTATAAGATTGTTCTAAAGCCAGCCAAAGTAGCTACGTTAACAAAACAAGGCAAACCAGATCTCCTCTGTCACGCAGAACTTGATTCCATTCATGGTCTCCCCTTCTTTCTTGGGAGGTTCGTATTTTCCATTCCTACAGATATTTATTTAGGATGCACCTCTCACCTCACTTTCTTAGGTATTTAATTAACTTCTGATTATTTCAACCCTTCAAACCTTATTGTTCAATCAGGCATAATTATCCAATTTACATCAAACTGCTAATCATTAGGAGTTCTATAATTTTCCTAGCTAACAGGGAACTTAACATTTCTTTTCCCAAACTTAATCCTTATACTCTGTATTCCTTTTTCTTGTTTATTTTTAGTCTAATAATTGGCATGCACCTAATATGATTACTTCTGTAAAACTTCATATATTTTTCTAAATATATCTTATTTGTTTTTGTTATCTATTGATCTGTTCCATAACTGAAAATCCAATTTTTGGCACCGCATTATTCAGTGAAAATGCAAAGAAAAAATCTTACCTGGCATAAAAGTCACCTGGTGGAATAATCTCCTGAAAAAACTGTAATTGGTACAGGTAAAGTCCGATTAAGTGGCCTGCGCTGAATATAGCCATTAGGACACAGAGACAGCTGAATATCAGCGGATCAAATACTCGGCAACATGACCACCATGTACACAAGCCCAAAAATAAAAAGAAATACACAGCCGAAGTCAGTGATGGCAACATCATTCCTATAAACAAACAATGAAGAGTCTTATATCATGGACCCATGATCTGTATCCTATAGGGGAAACTGCTTAAGTATTTGTTTTAAACCTTCTGAAGCATTTTTTTTTTAAATTGAGGGTATACATTATATTGCTGAGGCATTCATTCCTATCACACCTTTCTGGCTTTAATAAAATTTCAGTTGAAATGGCAGTTGAAAATGATAGGAATTTATGCTTCAGGTAGGAAAGTCTATGAAATTCACTTTTTCTAATTTTGATAGAAAAAGACCCAATCACTACCTTCAGACTAATGCACAGTTTGAAAGTCAGTTCCCAATAGCTTTTGTACTTCATGAATGTGCTAATACAGTTCTCAGCTCAAAAAACCCTGTCATGGTACATTTAGAAATGTATATTTTGACATAAATTGTGCTTTAAAATGAGTTTTTAAAAGCGAACTAGTTGATATATCTATAGATGTGTTATATATTGTTCAGTAGCATGTGAAAGTAACACAGACCAGAAATCATTGGATCTGCCTATCTCTAGCTTCAAGTTTCCCACCCACAAACTATGGCATCTTTGGGTTAGGATGAACGTTCTTCATGAACGGTTTTAGCAGGATTTCTCCATGCAGATTTGCCTTATTAAGAAGTTATCAAGAACTGTTCACTTTCAACCAATACATTTTTTAACAAAAATAAGCTATAATATAATGGTGAGTTGATGACAATAGTCTTGAAAATCCAAGAAATGTTATAAAGGATGCAAATGTTCCAGCTGTCCCCATTTCCCAGAGACATCTCCTATTTTCAGTTGCCTGTCCCTGATGAATTATTGTTCCTGTGTTGCAGTTCTTTGAAAAGTTTTAAGGAGATATTTGGGAAAAAATGAAATGGGTGTCCATGTGTATTAACTTTCACTCTGTCTCTCTCCCTCATCAAATATCCATAAGCACCCATATTTCATTATTTTGTATTTTTAGAGTTTTACTCTTTGCCAATCACCCAAAGTGCTCTAGCTATTGGGCAGTATAGAAATGTAATGAATGAAAGAAGGAATAAATACATTTAGGAGTTCTCAAATGACATGCATTCCTATAGAGATGAACAATGGGTCATAAATACTCTATACCCAGGCATTTGACAGCATATGATAAGGTTTTAATGGTTCTTGGGATCTAATTAATTTGCGATTAGTGATTAAGATGGGTGGGTTTTACATATAACTAGTTTTGTTATTTCATTATTTTAATTTTTAGAGTTTTAAACTTTATAAGCCACCCAGAGAGCTTCTGCTATTGGGCAGTATAGAAATGTAATAAACAAATAAATTTACGAATCACCAATTGATCCACTAAAAGCACAATCAGTTCTTAAAGAAGGTATACATTTGCAAAATTGGTTGTAAATGGCATCTGTCCTCAGACATGTAGCCTTACTTTGGGAGTGCATGAAGCGCATAGCGTGCTGTGGCCACCCTAACCCTTCTTCCAAAGCCCCCAAAAACCAGCTCTTCTCCTTTTACTCCTCACATTTGCACACTGAGTGCAAATGTTCTGAAGGGAGATTGCAAGAGTATTCCACTGAACTGCGGGTTTCCCTGCCAAGGGGAGGCTTATAAGTATGTTGAGGTGTCCTCTTCCAAACTGTCAGGCTGTATGTGTGAAGGCTGAGAATGCAGGAAGTGGACCATGGGATAGTTGGGTCGAGGCTGAATGTTGTTTACATGCCCTTGTTCCCTACACACGTTGCACCCTCATGCATACAGGTTGGACAACTGCACGAGACTCATATTTACAGCTACTGCTGAGAAAAATAGCCAAAGAGCCATATCTAATCTATCAAGCACTGAGCATTTAAAAAGAATTATGTAGAATAAATTAGCAATATATTACTCCAAGCACAGGACAATTTCCCAATATTTCACTACTGCATGCTCAGTTATGTGTTTAATGTACTGGACTGTTGAGAAACTGCTCCAGAAGAGAACCCACCTGTTGTACCAAGTAAAATCGTAACAACAACTTTTCCAGCTGTGGTTATAATGTTGCCAATAATTTCCTTCATTTTGGAAGCTATTGAGGCAATTCTACGCAGCAGTTTTAATTTTGTGGTTTCTTCAAATTCCTCTTTCCCACATTCTGCATCATCCAGATCTTCATCTATTAATGCATCTTCTGCCTCTATTCTCTCTCCTTCATTCTGAGAATGATAGAAAATTGCAATAAGGTTTGGGGAATCTGTCTAACATAATTTATTATCTCATATTACATATCCATACTAATCACAAGACCCACCTCAAGCATGCCCTTGTAAGTTCAAAGCAACCACTTTCTTTCTCATGGCATTAAAAAAAAGGAAAAATAAGATTGTTTCTTTTTTCCCCTAAACTGCTGCTTCCCAAATCCTATGTCTCCCCAAATCTGCCCTATAATCCCATATTGCTTTAATCTTGCTCATCTCTCATTGTGACTACTGTACACCTTCATTTCTGGTTTTCTATCCCTAATCAATTCAATCCAACATGTTTATGTTACAAATGCCTCTGTTCTCTATTGTTATAATCATGTTGTATCTCCTGCTTCTCCAGAATTTGTGGTCTCACTTGCATCAGTTGTTCCCTTTGTACTATGCCTGGTATGCCACTAGGACATCATTACAACTGTCACCAACATGTCAACGTAGAGTAGCTAATTTGGACAACATTAAAAAAAAAAAAAAAAGAGGACAGCGGAGAGCGCAAATTCCACAGAATTTAGGTAATCTGGTTTTTATGCATATAACTCCAGTTTAGCTTTCTTCAGAATTGTGGCTTGTTTAGTGTGTTAACACATTTTGGGGGTTTGTTATGCTACTTCCTTTAAAGAAAACAAGATAATTTATAAATTTGAAACACAAGTTTGTTCTGTTCTTAATTTTTCTCGCATAAAGGAAGCATTATACTAGTGTTATACTGCATTGCTAGCATTGTTATTTTAAAGCATGTTTGTACAATGTTAGAACTATCAGCATGCAAGTGATATCATGGTTGCTGAGAAAACCAGAACACAAAGATACTGTTACCTAATGTTGTGCCACCATACCATTTCCCACAACAAAATGCCCTTAAAAACTCAGAAAATACTTTTTAAATTTTGAAATAAGCATTAAAAGAAGGGAGCAAGGCTGAAGAAACTTGCTTTTCCTGAGTACTTAGTTGTTTCACTAAAACTGCTTATATTAAATGGAATGATTTGTCTATATCACTAATGCAAACTTGCATGTTGTTATCATTACATAGATTGAAGTGATGCAATCTTTCCAGACAATTTTGAACTGGAAAATTTTCCAGTGACAATTTGGTTAATTTGCATAGAGACAATTTGCAAGGAAAATCTTCTCTCTGTAAAACAACAAAAAAAGTTGGTTGCACAACAAACAAAGTGCAAAGTTGGTGAGCTTACATAAGGACATTGGCATAGGGTTAGGGTTTCCAAGTCCCCAGGAAATGGTAGGAAAATTGTGACTTGTTGCCCTCCATTGGTCCTGGTCTATAACTCCTGTTTTCTCTTATCATTGGCTATGCAGATGATTACCACAGACAAGAATGTCTGGACAGCCAAACGTTGCTGGATCCTGCTGCAGAGAGTTCCAATTTAGCATATTTTATTTTCTAGTATTTGGTAAATATCTTTTTTTTTTAAAGAAGCTCATGTTAACTTTTTCGCCCAATGCACTACATGTTTTTGACCTGAAATACTTCTGCAGAGCTGTCCGTGATACACCTTTGCTTGAACAACCACAAAAACATACTTTAATTATGTCCAAGAGCATTTTAGTGAGAGAACAAACTAACACTATTTAATCAACCACAGTTTTTAAAAGAAATCTGTACCTCAGTCTTCCTCACCCTGGTGCCCTTAAGACATGTTCAACTGCAGTTCCCATCATTTTCAGCCAGCATGGCCATTCCTTTTGTTTTACTCAAAAGTGAATGAGAAGGAATTAACCTGGACTGGAACCACAGAGTGGGAGTGGATATACTTTAGCCCTTTCCCAATCACTGTGGTCCCATGCTGGGTCATTCCCTCATGCCTGCAAGAGAGGTTTGCCCTACACACAGAAACAAACCTGTAAAAATAAAAAGCTATATTCACTTCAGTGGAGGCACTTTCCCCCTGTGCTAACTGATATGGATAAAGACCACAGTGAGGAGGGAAAAATTAAGGTACCTCTTTCCCCACTGATCCCTAATACTTATATCTGAAATATGCTTAATATGGTCATTCCATTCAGTGACCTCAGAAGTGTCAATGTGAGACCACCAACTATAAGCTATGCATTACATTTTTAGTCCATTTGTATTCTGAAACACAGTTTTTGGAATATCTCCAGTTCTTCTGGGTTCAATATTTTATCACTCAGGAGGAAACATTATAATACGTTACTTCTCTCCCAAAGACAGAAGGCTCTTTGATCCAGCAGAAGCTTCCATCAGCAAAATGGGAAAAGAAGTCATTTTCAGTTAATACTTCACCTCTAAAGCTTGTCCCAGGCTGGGGGCACCCTTCAGAAAAGAGGTGGCAGGGGGTTTAAGGGAACCCACCAAAATTTCCCCCACCCCATTCCACTTGAGGAAGCAGTGGAAGGAAACAAGGAGTCTTCCATTAGCAGAGGAAAACTAAATGGATAAAACCTATTGAACTTTTATCCTTCTTTTCTATTTAAAGCCATTCAAGGAAGTTACCAAAATACATCAGATCAAAACAATAATAAAGTAAAACTAAAAGAAAAAACTCATCATCATTAACATTAAATTCCAGCATGAGATAAATTATTCCACCTCAAAGACTTATAACAATCTTAGTTCAGCATAAATACAACTAACCCCAAAATTATAAAACCATTTATCCAAGATTATAATCACTGATCTCATTTGTTTTTTGCAGAAAGATAACATCTAGTTATCTTGTTCATGGTTTCCTTAAACCTAACAATAATTATTGGATCTATAGATAAATGGACAGTATAATATGAGATGTGTAAGGAATTCAATCTCTTCAAATGCATAGCAAAAAACATAACCTGAGAAGGTAAAAGCTAGCTAATGTTCAATTATTCCAAATGACTAAAATAAATGACACTGGAATAAATGAGTTTACTGCTCATCAAAAAACAAGGTGAGATATGGCCAAGCAGAGCAAGTCAGTGGGACACTAGAGAGGTCTCCCTCCTTCCAGCCCCATCCACTTGCTCCAATTCTGATAGAAAAGGCATACACAGCACTGATAGGTCCACTTGTGATTTGGTTAAAATCCAATCTGCTGGGACACTCGCCTTGTTGAGTCTTCCCTTGCCTCTGGAATCCGTCTGCTTCTTCTTGCCTTGTTTTGGCCCCTGAATAACCCATAGGCATACACTGTGCTCCCCTATGTAGTTGATCGGGGCTGCCTAACAACAAGGCACACTCTTAAGTGCAACACAATTGCCCATGAACAAAATATAAAAATGAAAATGTAAAGTATGTCATTGTGTGTATATATATGCATATGCAAAAGTCATTCATTTCCCACCAACATTTCCTCCACATCTAAAAACTGCACGATTCGACTTTGATGTACTTTTCTTTTCCAAATCCGTTGAAACGCCATAGATTCTTCTTTCATTCCGTCTGTCCTTGCACTTATCAGATGCTCCACATTTTCATCTACATTGTTGCTGTTGCTGTTACTGTGTGTCATCAAGTTGTCTCTGAGTTATGGTGACTCTAAGAATGAAAGTCCTCCCAAATGTCTAATACGTAACAGCCCTACCCAGCTCTTGTAAATACAAGACTGTAGCTTCCCTCATGCAGTCGATCCCTTTCATATTTGGTCTTCCTTTTATTCTTCTGCCTTCCACTTTCCCTTGCATGATCATCTTCTCCAGGGATTTTGAGCACTTTTCACAATGTGCTCAATATATAACAGCCTTAGTTTTGTCACTTTTGCTTCTAGGGAAAACTGTGCCTTGATTTGATGTAGGACCTACTTTTTCATCTTTCTGACAGTCCAGGGTAATTACAAAGCTCTCCTGCAGCACTATGTTGGAATGCATCAATTTACTTTTTGTCAGCTTTCTGCACTGTGTAGCTTTCACATCCATACACAGTGAACAGCTGAATAATCTTCTTAATCTCAGGACTATCCATGCCATCTAGATGCCCATGACATCTGAAGCCACATACAAGTAAAAGAGGGGGCAACAGAAAGAAAAGGGCAAATGGATCTGGTAATGTGAAAAAGAATCTTTCTGGGTGGCTCTAAATTCTGATGTGTTAATAAGTCCAATGCCTTCCAGGAATAGATTGCAAACATAAACAATAAATCAAATCTCTCATTTTAGAAGATTAATTGCTTTAAGATGGATTAATTTCATTCTTACGTAGAAGTATTTACTCTTCTGTAAAACTTGCTAAAATCTGGCTTCCAAATTATCTGTTTCCACTGAAAGACTTGGTGCTGCTCCATCACTGACTGCAATGATTGATTTCTACATCTGTATGTTTGTGTTTGTGCATGCTTGTGCAACTTTTGATTTAATGCATTCAAACAAATCGCAGTAATCACCACCGGGTGATTCACTGCAAATTACTACTAGACTCCATTGTAAAACCTTCCCCAACTTGTGCCCACTGTATTTCTTATCATAATGTATAAATTGTGATCATACAACGATGTTATCAAAGTTTCTAATACTTTTCCAAAGTGTCATACAGTGTCTTTTAGTAGTGAGGATCCAAAGATTCTAAGAGTGATTCTTCCAGGACGAAGTGATGCAAGGTCTTGTCTTTCTTCGAGGACTGTCTTTTCCCAGGCCCACTGCTTTTGAAAGCCAAGCGATTTTTAAAAATAGTTGCCACTGGGTACTCCTCAAGAAATAAAAACTTTAAAAATCCCACTGAGCTCTTTGAACCTGATCAGTGAACCTATGGTTCATGAATCACAGTTGGAAAAAAATGTTTTTCACTCATAGAATTGCATACTGTGTAATCTCACAATCTTGTGAATGCTTATTAAAACCAAACTAGCATCTCAAAGAACCCACAGCATTTGTTCAGGAACGATCACATAGACTGGGGTGCAGAACTGCAGGGTGATGAAAGTAAAATTAAATGTGTCACTAGATTTGTCAGTCATCTGGGGAAGCTGAAAGCTGATCACTGGACGCCATTTTCTTACAAC